AACTTCTCCCTTCGGGGGGAAGGCTAAGTGGGCAAGTACAAATGATAGAGAGTGATTGGGGCGGCAATGGCTAAGCCCAGGTACCGCATGTTGTGTTGAGTATGTTGTGTGTGTGTCCCTACCTACTATTTAGCGAAACCACTGCCAAGTGAACGGGCTTGGAAAAATTAGCGGGGAAAGAAGACCCTGTTGAGATTGACTCTAGTCTGGCAATGTAAAGAGACATGAGAGGTGTAGCATAAGTGGGAGACTTTGTCGACGTTGAAATACCACTACTTTCATCGTTTCTTTACTTACTCGGTGAGGCGGAACGCGTGCGTCGTCCGCTTTCGGCGGCGACTGTCACGGTGTTTTCGAGCAAAGCGCGTAGAGTGGCGTGAGACCGGATTTACTCTCGGTGAGTTCGCGCAACGAAAATTTCGAAGGTCGGTTTTTCCCGATGAAAAAAAACGGTAAAGGAAATTTTCCGCGCATGCGGAAAATTACTACTATTCAGTGGGATTACACATTCAGACACATTTGGTATCAGTTATGGTCATTTTGACACACTTTTAATCAGTTGGGAATATTTAGTCATACTTGGAACCAGTTGAGGACATATGGACACACTTCCTACTACTCAATGGGAACGGTCCGCGCATGCGCAGAAATTCCTATGGCTCGATTGAGGACATTTGGACAGACTTGAAGTCAGTTGGAAACATTTGGACACACGCGAAATTTGTTGAGGACAATTAAACACATTTAGAAATATTTCAGGACATTTGGACATACGCTGAAGCAGTTGGAGATATTTAGATATACTTTGAAGCAGTTGAAGACATTTGGACATATTTAGTCAGTTGGGAACACTTTTATACATTTCGAATCAGCTGGGATCATGGTTACACACTTGAAAGCTGTTGGGAACATTTAGACACATTTGAAAACATTTCGGGACATTTGGACACACATTGAAGCAGTTGGAGACATTTAGACATACTTGGAATCAGTTGAGGACATTTGGCCACACATTTAGACACATTTCGAATCAGCGCGGGATATTCTGACATACTTGGAATATGTTGGGAACATTAAGACCATTTGGTATTACTACGGGACATTTGGCCACACGTTGAAACAGTTGGAGACATTTAGACACACTTGGAATCAGTTGAGGACACTTGGACATACTGGGGGGAAGTTGTACACATTTGGACACACTTAAAATCTGTTGGGTTAATTTAGACACATATTTAGGCACACTTGGAATGACTTGAGTATATTTAGACACACTTGGAATCAGTTGGGGACATTTAGACACATTTGGAAATATTTCGAGACACATTTGGAATCACTTGGGAACACTTTAAAACATTTAGAATCAGCTCGGGACATTTTGACATACTTGGAATCTGTTGGGAACATTTAGACTATTTAGTCCCGAAGTAATACCACTTCGAGACATTTGGACACACGTTGAAGCAGTTGAAAACATTTAGACATACTTGAAGGAGTTTGGAGACATTTGGACACACTTGAATTCAGATTTTTATTTAGACATTTAGACACATATTTTGACACACTTCGAATCGTTTGAGGGCGTTTGGACACACTTGGAGTAAGTTGGGGACATTTGGACACACTTAAAATCAGTTCGGTTCATTTAGACACACATTTAGATACACCTGGAATTAATTGGGTACATTTAGATACACTTGCAATCGGTTGGGGTCATTTAGACATGCATTTAAAACCAATTGGAATCAGTTCATAACATTTGGACATACTTGGAGTCAGTTGGAGACATTTGGTCACATTTTGAATCAGTTTAAATCGTTTGGACACACGTAGAAGCAGTTAGGCAAAATTTTGACAAAAAATGAATAAGTTGAACACATTTAGACACATTTGAATTCAATTGTTATGTTAAATTATCATTTAAGATTTCAATTAACAATTAATAATAAATATAATATAATATTTGTTTATGATATTAATATTTAAAATATTTTATTTTATTTTGTAAAATAAATTTTATTTAACATACAAATTAATTATCACTAAAAACACTTTTATGCACTTTTTTGCAATGAAAATTGCAGGGATTCTAACTTTTACCAATACCCGAACTGATCAGAATATTAAAGCAAAAATTAAATAAGGTGTACTCCGTCTCGATAAACTCGACGAACTGCGACCAAACGAAGAGCGTTGCCGCCTTTTACTCTGGTTTAAGCGTCTTAAAACCGGTTCAAACCACTTTAATCCGATACATATTGCGAACACCTGTTGTTTGTTAACGTATTTTCGTGAGAAAGTTTGAATTATAACTTTCTCACGAAAATAAAATAAATGAGTTAATAGTTGTTTTTTTTTACATCTTAAGTGTTTTAGCGGTGTAGCGGTATCAACTTTTCCATAAAGGTTTATTCTATTGGTTGGGTAAGTGGAATAATTTATTTAATTTTTTTAGCTTTCTCATTGTAAAGAATACGTTTTTGATTTCTTATATTTTATTTATAATAATTTAATTCATTTTTGCGTTTTACTTTAATTTTCGATTTTTTTTTATTTCGTTTGTTTTAGTTTAAAAAAATAATTGTTAATTTTTTTAATAATATTTGTTTAATTCATTTTGTATTTCAACTTTAACTCAGTTTTTAGGTTTTTATAAGTTTTATATTTAAATTTAGGTAATTTTTTTTATTATTAATAAACATTAAATGAAATAGTGGTAAATAAAAATCGGGATAAAATGGTTCGGTCGAAATCTAAATTGTCGACTAGTGGAAAATACAGTTTGCAAGCGACGAGGAGGTCGCAGAGAAATATTAATACGGCGAATAGAGAAATTTTATCGCCAAAAAGCAAAGCGGCATTACGGCCACCCGTTCTCGTTTTGGAGCAGTTACAGGTGAACGTACCGGTAAATGCTGAGACCGTACACGGGCGGAAGAAGCTAGTGTAACAACGATGGAACCTGTGCCGAAACCGTCGTCGGCCGTGGTAATACCCCGTTTAGAAGAGGGCGAGATAAAGGAATGCGAAATTTCTCAGCCGGGCCAGCAAACAAAAGCGGAATCACGTAGACCGTACGTGATGATCTCTCAGAGGAGCCGCGCGCAAGCAGATTTTGCCATAGCGGGACCGTCCGGATTGCAAGCTCGTCCCGCATTAAGAATTGTAAGGGAAGAGGAGGAAGAGGATGTAACTTCCATTTTTGTGTTATTGTGATTTGTCTGTAACTATTTAGAAATCGGGGAATTTATATACCAATTTTGTTGTTTATCTTGTTAATTTTTGTTCTTTTACAGCAAGCCAAATTTGGAAACACTTAAAAATCCTTTTCTTTCCACCACTTCTTAAAAATCCTTTTCTTTTCGCGCACAATAATAATCTTTTCCCTTTTTCTGTATACATTATAATGATTACAACGCAATAAAATCTTAACCTTAAACTTTTTCCTGTTCTTCATTTTTATTATAAATTTTGTTTACATTTTTAAGTTCGTACTGTCGATAATAGAGGGAGGGAGTGATTTTGAATTTTTGGTACCGCGCGATTTTAAAGCGAGTTTTTTGGATAAAATTTTGGGGAATGAATACCCGGGCGCGATTTCATTCTTCCTCTTTTGTAGCCAGCATTCGTAGTGCTAAGATTGGTAACAATTGTATAGTCGTCGACATTTTGAAAAGTTATCTACGAGGTTCAATTTTTGGGTCGAGCTATATCTGATTTTATCAGGATTTGGGTTATTCAATCAGTTAATTTTCGTACGGAATTGGTTTCTACGATTACGGTTTTACCGGATTTATACGCACGTTTACGAAATTATAATCCTTTACTGGTTAAAATCTCATACCATCTTGAGGTAGGTTTAAACATTTATATTTTACAATCCTAATTTTAACTTATCCTAAAACTACTACTACTAATAAACATAATTTCTAAAAAAAAAAAAAAAATCCTCCATCCACGCTACATAAAATCACTCATTCTTCCATTTATCCAAACACACAACTATTTACAATTTATATACAATATTTCTCTTTCTTTGAAACAAAGGTTTTTTTTTTGTACTTTATACTCCTATCCTGGAAACAACCCTGGAATAAAGACGTTAGGTTATTTCGTCAGAACCAAATTTCCTATATTACCTTGGACCAGACAAGGACAGAGTGTTTTATTTTCCGTTCACCTGATCGAGCACACGTGTCAATCGGGAACGTGTCGCGATCAATACTTAGTTAAATTTTTTATTTCTTTGATTATTTTTTTTTATTTCTTTAATTATTTTTTTTTATTTCTTTAATTATTTTTTTTTTTGTTTCATTTTGCTTTTTACTACCCCTAATCATTCGGGACTATTTTTTTTTTTTTTTGTCGAATTATTTTCGATATTCTCTTTTAGTTTATTTTTATTGTGGTATCGTTGAAGGGTTTTAGATTTTTTTGAATAAAAGAGTTTCTTCCCAACTACATGTTAATGTATTTTACCCAAAGGTTCATACAATTCTGATGATTACAAAAGCGTAATCAATTTTAAAGTAGTACAGCAATAATGCTTACCACGGTAATACGGTTCAACGGACGATAACATGATACTTATTAATTAAGTTGCTGAGCCTACATTTTATAGTTAAACGTTTTGTAATTTACTTAAACAATAATGAATTTGGATACACCACATCTCCCTGGGGAAGGAAAAAAAAAATTTTAAACATTTTACAATTTTTTTTTTTTTTTTTATACTAACTTAAATGCTAAATTCCTATTGTTACCCTAAAACTTAACATAAACCTTTTATTTTTATTTTTCTATTTTAAAATACACAACTTTACTTAGAACTAAAATATAATTTTTAAGTGCTTTGGTAATAACGTTTTATTCTATNGTCCTTGTCGAAAAATTTGTTATCGTTCTTTATTTTGTTAAATTAAAAAAAAAAAAATCGGTTTAGTAAAGTTTGGCGTCACACTATGGTAGCCAGACACGGTAAGCCCGACCTCTTTATTACAATGACCTGTAATCCGAAATGGGATGAAATTCAAAACAATCTTGAATACGCCCAAAAGTACGAGCACCGCCCGGACTTGGTTGCGAGGGTGTTTAAAACGAAATTAAACGAATTCATCGACGACATCGTCAATAAGCAACTTTATGGAGTCGTGCTCAATTACATGTACACAATCGAATTTCAAAAACGCGGTTTACCGCACGCCCACATTTTAGTTACGATGAGGCCCGAAGATAAATTTGAAGATGTCGAAAGTATAGATAAATTAATATCTGCCCGTTTGCCGGACGCAAACGAAGAGCCCGTATTACATAGTCGCCGAGTGTTATATACACCGTCCGTGCGGCCAAAACAATCCGGGCGCGTCGTGCATGCGCGACGGAGCGTGCACGAAGAGATATCCGAAGGATTTTTGCGAAGAAACGATATTGCACGTGGGTCATATACAACAGCCGCAATACAGGAGACCGTACGACGGTCGATCGATCCAAATGGGAGATGTGGTAATCGATAATAGAAGCGTCGTTCCTTACAGCAGGTACGCTGCGATGAAATATAAGTGCCACATAAACTTCGAGATATGCGGATCGTTGGCCTCTGTAAAATATTTGCATAAGTACGTGCATAAAGGACCGGATTGTATTACAATAGAATCGCGCAACGAAAGGAACGTCTTGGAATGGAACGAAATCGACCGATATTTAGAATGTCGCTACGTTAGTTCGATGGAAGCGGTTTGGCGTTTGTTTGAATTTAAATTAAATGATAAATCCCATAGCGTCGTTGTACTTGCCGTACACATGCCAAACGAACAAACGTTCATCGTAGACGACGATGCCGAAAGTGCCGATTTTAAAGCGGCCCTTAGAAAACCCACAAAGTTAATGGCATATTTTCGATTGAATCAGATCGATCCGGACGCGAGAGACCTTAAATATCCGGATATACCCGAACACTACGTGTGGGAGGATCGCGACGGCAGTTGGAGAAGAAGAAGTAAACGCTGTAAAGTCATCGGCGTGATGATGGAGGTGAGTCCCACGGATATGGAAAAATTTTATCTTCGAATGCTATTGGCGCACGTAGCGGGTACCACGTCGTTTGAAGCGTTGAGAACCGTCAACGAAACGGTATGCGAAACATTTCAAGAAGCCTGCCGGAGAATGGGACTTTTGGAACGCGATCGCTGCATGATCGAAGCGGCGAATAACGCTCCTCCGAAACGTCTTAGGCGCCTATTTGCTCTTATTTGTTTGGTTGCCGTAGATAATGCCGCGTTAGAATTAAATCAACTATGGTTGAATCACCGAATGGCGTTAATGGATGATTTCCTTTACGCCGGTAACGACGAAAGCTTAGCGGAAGCTAAAGCGTTGAGAGAAATCGAAGAGCAACTACTGCGAAACGGGAAAACGCTGCAGGCGATAGGATTACCGTCGGTGGACGAGGAAGCATTACGAAACGCGAGAAGAACGGCGGATGAAGATGTTGCAGGAGAAGAGGAACAACAAGAAGAAATCAGAAGGTCATTAAACGGTGATCAATTGCGGGTATTCGACGAAGTGACGCAGGAAATCGAATTTAATATGGTAGGATTACGGACCGGACGTAATTTATTTTACGTAGACGGGCCTGGAGGCACGGGAAAAACGTTCCTGTATAATACTCTGTTGAAGTACGTGTTGCGTCGATACAGAAAGAGTGTCATCGCGGTAGCGTGGACCGGTATAGCGGCCGTACTGTTAGAAAATGGAAAAACCGTGCACAGAGCGTTTAAATTACCATTACAATTAAACGAAGATTCCGTGTCAGGATTTGCCGTCGATAGTCCCGAATCCGCTTTTATTAGAGACGACGTGCAGTTGATTGTTTGGGACGAGGCGCCGATGTCGCCTATCTTCGCGTTGCACGCCGTCGATAGATATTTAAAAGATGTTATGCGGTCGGATCGTCCGATGGGAGGAAAGGTATGCGTCTTCGGTGGAGATTTTCGTCAAGTGTTGCCCGTTATTCCGCGAGCGAGAAATGCCGAGATTTTAGCGCAATCGCTAATAAACAGTTATTTATGGAATAAAATGCGTCACATGAAATTAACGGTCAACATGAGAGTGTTGCCGGATCAGATAGAGTTTCGTGAATGGTTATTAAAACTTGGAGAAAATAAATTACCGCACGTAAATATGCCGGGATCCGTCGGCGCCCCGGACGATTTGGTAGAGATACCCAGACGGTGTTTAACGGCTAATTTAGAATTATTATTGCGCAAAATATTCGGACAAGACCTCCTCGACGAAGACTTATCCAACAGAGCCGTCTTATGTCCGACCAACGATTCGGTTCACGAAGTGAACGAGAAGATTTTGGATTCGATAGTTGGCGAATCGAAAACCTATTATAGCGTAGACGAATATCACGCCGAACCGGGTGACGAATTTCACGTGCCGTTGGATTATTTAAATTCGGTTAAGTCGTCGTCGTTGCCGCCGCACGAATTGCGCGTTAAAGCGGGAGTGGTCGTTATGTTACTAAGGAATTTGGATTTGGAGGGCGGTCTCTGCAACGGCACCAGATTGAAAGTTTTGAGGATGTTCGATCATCAATTGGAATTGGAGATTTTAACCGGGGCCTGTAGAAACGACATCGTGAGAATCCCGAAGGTTAAAGTGCAAGTGAAAGATTCGACGTTACCGAGGCCTATGACGCGATTCCAATTTCCGGTTCGTCTTGCGTTCGCAATGACGATAAATAAAGCGCAAGGACAAACGTTTTCGAAAGTCGGCGTTTATTTGAAAGAGCCCTGCTTCGCGCACGGGCAGCTGTACGTCGCATGCTCGAGGGTCGGTCGATACGACGATTTATATTTTCACATCGAAAACGGCGTTAAACAAGGGGCGTTTAAATACCGAAACGGGAGGAAATTTACGAGAAACGTAGTATTCCAGGCGGCGGTAACGTCTAGCAGATGTATGGCGATGAACCGCACGGCGAACGTCGATTTGTATACCGAGCGCGACGTCGAAGAGGCTATCGCCGCGGCCGAGAGGATCGAAAACGACGACGAAGAACGACGACAGCGACTTCAACAACAAATAGAATCGGACGTGGAAGAACTATCCAGCAGCGTAAGCGAAATGAGCGTAGAAGACACCGAGTGAAAATACAACTACAATTTATTAGATAATTAAGTTTTGCATCAGCGATACGCTTGAGCGTGTTGATGTAGACAAGGGGTTTTTAGTGGGTAAACTGCGGTGGCAGGAGTCCCACACTACCGTAACGCGATCGAGCTAAGCGAACGGTGCCAATAAATGGTTTTCCCCTACCTAAAAAAAAAAAAAAACAAAAAAAAAATTATTTCAGGTACGTATTTTTCCGAGTTATTGCAGTTTTAGACATACTTGGAATCAGTTAGGGTCTTTTGGAAACATATTTAGACATATCTGGAATCTATTGTGGACATTTGGACACACTTGGGGTAAGTTCGGTCCGTCGGATTAATTTAAATTTCTAAATATAACAACCTCATCTATAGTTCGTCAGGTATGTTTAAATTTTAAAAATATGACAGTGCCATCTACGGGTCATCAGACAAACCTTCTTTTCAATTTCACCACATTTCACCAGATGGCCCACACGATTTAAAATTTTCACGCTCGTCATCTATCGCTTACAAGGCAAACCTCCCGTTTTAATTTCACCACACACCACCAGATGGCTCCACATGAATTTTTAAATTTTCGAATTTTTTATTTTCGCGCGCGTCATCTATCGGTCATCAGACAAACCCGCTTTTCAGTTACCCGCCACACCACCAGATGGTGTCACATGAATTTTTAATTTTCGCGCGAACGCCATCTATCGGTCATGATGTAAACCTCCCGTTTTAGTTACACCACACGCCACCAGATGGCGTAACATGAACTTTTAAATTTTCGAATTTTTATTTCTCGCTTTAGACACACTCAAGGATCTCCCGTCCTCAAAGATCTGTACGCTCGGCGATCCAATTTGCAAACTGGGTTCACTCGAGGATCTCCCGTCCTCAAGGATCCGTACTCTCGGCGATCCAATTCGCAGGCTGGTTCACCCACTTATAGGGAACGTGAGCTGGGTTTAGACCGTACTTTAACAGTTCGATTTTGAAACTTGAAATTGTGTCCGTAGAGACGGCTTTCTATATGTACCTGGCGAGGTTGGGTTGAGGCTATTGAGACTCGGCCCTTCGCTTGGGGATTCGTCTTGTCGGTTAGACGAGGTCCTCAGTCGCGTACGGGCGGAAGGCTTACGGCGGTTCTCTTTCGTACCGTTTACCGCTACATATTTTATTTGGCCCTCTCCGTCCATAACAGCCTAAAACTAACAATATAAAATAATAAAATACATAAACAATCTCACGGAAAACAAACGAATTTACAACAAAGGTGTCGAATCGAAAGGTAATAAGCGAAAACGGTATAAGTAAGTAAAGTTATCCTTAAATTTACGATTGAAACGGTAAAAACTGCTATTATATTTATGTTATAAATTATCGAAAGAAATAATAGTAATAACGCAAAAAGGCAACGGCACGCGGTGTTCCCAAGCGGTCACCCATCCATGTACTAACCGCGCCCGACATTTCTTAACTTCGGTGATCGGACGAGAACCAAATTTTTTTTCAAATTCAAATATAAATTTATTCATTAAAATAGTTGATACAGGATAATATTACAATACTTCTTAAAATTAACTTAAAATTAACCTAAGATATCATAATACATCTTAAAACTACGGAATCGACGACGGTTTTTTCGAAGCGGCGGCGCTTGTTAAACCGGGATAGTGAATACGGGTGTTGCAACGATCTATATACAAAAGATAAATATATGTACAAATTACAAGGGGTTGCAAGGGAGCCGCGTGACAATATAGCTGAGACGATCGGGGGGGGAGTTAATTGATCGGTTACGGTTGAATCTCCTAATTGAGGGCGGACGAGTGTCGGGAGAGCGCTTGGGAGGGTAAAAAATCCTAGCGTGTTATAACAGCGGTGAGGCTGTTTGTGTTGGTGATGTGTTGATTAGTGTGGGTGTGTGTGTGTTAGGGTTTTATGTGTGTGTGTGGGTGTGTGCGTTACTATGGGGTGTGATTGTGATTTTAAGTGAATTTATTGAGATGTGTTTTTTCAAAGGGGAATTTGTATTTTGTGTTGACGGTGTTGTGGGAGGTGATGTTTTTAATGAGCGGGTTTGTGTGATGCTTGGTGTGGTTATAGAAGTTGGTGTTGTGTTTGTGTAGCTCGAGTGGAAGGGGTTTTATATTGGCTTTGTCGTGGAGTCTATTGATATTGATGTATCTGTCGGAGTTTGTAATGATACGGAGGGCTTTGTTTTGGGCTGTTTGGAGCTTTTTGATAGAGGTGGGGGCGGCGTTTGACCATACGGGCGACGCGTATGTGATCGTGGGCCTGATTATGGAGGTATAGATGAGTCGCCTGTTTTGGGGGGAGAGCGAGCTGTTTTTGGAGATTAGGGCGTAAATGCTCTTGATAGTGGCGGAGGTTTTTTGGATTGTTTTGGCGATGTGTTTTGAGAAGGACATTCTCTTATCGAGCGTTACGCCAAGGTATTTTAGCTCGGTTTTGATCGGGATTGGGGTATTGAAAATTTTGAGCACGGGGGGAATCTTGAGATGGGGAATGGTTTTGGTGAAAATAATGGCTTCTGATTTGCTGGGGTTAACGGAAATTTTCCACCTTTGATAGTACTTTTGAAGCAGGCGGAGATGCGTTTGGATTGTTAGGACGGCTATTTTGGGGTCACTGGAATGGGCGTAAATGGCTGTGTCGTCAGCGTACGTGGCGATTTTTGTCTGGGGAATCTGCGGGATATCGCTGGTGAATATGTTGAATAGAAGGGGGGAGAGCACTGAGCCTTGGGGGACCCCGGAGTCTATCTTTTTGGGTTTGGAGATTGTGGTATTAACTTTGGTTTGGATCATTCTGTTGGTGAGATAACTGTGGATGAGTTTGGTTAGATAGTCCGGGTAGTTGTTGCTGATCAATTTGTGGATGAGGCCTTCGGACCAAACGGTATCAAAGGCTTTTTCGAGGTCGAGAGAAACGAGGGCGGTATGGGCTCTGTCGTTAGCTTTCGCTATTGTGTCGGTGACTATGCGGGTAACTTGGTGTGAGGTGGAATGTTGCGGGCGGAAGCCGCATTGGTGGTTGGGGATGACGTCTGTTAGGAAGGAATGCTCGTTTAGACGCTCTAGGATTACTCTTTCTACTATTTTGGATATCGCTGGGAGTAGCGATATCGGCCTGTAGCTAGAGGGTGAAGAGGGGTCTTTATTGGGTTTCAGAATGGGGATGATAATGGCGGTTTTCCACGAGTTGGGGAAATGCTGAAGTTTGAGGACGTGTCTTGCGATGTAGCATAGTTGAACTATGGCCCTGCGAGGGAGGTGTTGTAGGAGGATATTTTGTATGCCATCGGGGCCGGGGGCTTTGAACGGTTTTTGGCGTTTGCTGATTGAACGAATTGTGGCCGGGGTGATTAGGTGTAGATCAGCCGGGGGGATGGGATGAGATTGAGTGAAATTGTGAACTCTTTGGGAGATATTGTTTTGTTCGGCCGATGTGTTAGGTTTGGCTGTGTGAATGGGGGCCAGATAGTTTGTGAGGGCGAGGGCTTTGTCTCTATCTGAGATGATATGGCTGTTTTGGTCCTTTAGGGCGGGGATCGGTTTAAATCGATTTTTGATTTTGCGGATTGTGCACCAGATGGATTTGTCATCTGGGTTTAGGGATTGGAGTTTTTTGGACCACGTTTCGTTCTTGTGTTTTTTGAGTTCGGACTGGATTGATTTATTTAATTTGCGGAGCTCGATCAGTGTGATTAGGTCGCGGGTTCGCTGATACTGTCTGCGTATTGCGTTTCTGTTTTGGATTATGACGAGAATATGCGGTGGAGTTTTGGGGATGAGGCCGTTCGGTTTAGGCGAGAGGGGGATCGATTTGTTTTTGGCGGCCACGATCGTACTGGTGAGGAGATCGATGGCCGCGTCGAGGTCTTGGGTTGTTTGAATGTCGGGGGTGACGTGGATACGGGCGTTTATGTGGTTTTTAAACGTCGTCCAGTCGGCTTTTTTGAAATCGGGGGATTTCGATGGTGGTTCGTTTGGGATGTTTGAACCGATTTTAATGATGACCGGAGAGTGGTCGGATGACAGATCGTTTAAAGCGACTGGGTCGGAGATTTCGGTGACGTTTTTTGATCAAGGCGATGTCGATGGTTGTTGGCGTAGAGCCGTTTGGGGGGAAATGTGTGGGCGCTCTAGGGGCGAGGACGAACGCGTTGTGGGCCTGGGTGTAGTTGTATATAGTTCGCCCTTTTTTGTTAATTCTATTACATCCCCAGTAAGGGTGGCAGGCGTTGAGGTCGCCGAATAGAAGGGTTTTGTTGTAGGAGCCGATTAGATGGTTTAAATCGGTGGTTGTGAGGGGGCCGTTGGGGCGACTATAGAGAGCGGTGACGAAGAGGTTGCTGTCAAGTTTTATGGTGATAAGGTCTAGATGGCCGTGATTGGGTTGGGGGATTACTTGGTGCGGGATGGTGTTTTTGATTAAAACAGCGACACCGCCTCGACGGGTCCTGTCTTTTCAGAGGATGGTGTATCCTGGAAAGGAGACGGAATCGGTTGGGACGAGTTTGGTTTCGTTTATTAGGAGGACGTCGACATTTAGTCTTTTTAGGAAGTCGGTTATCTCCGGGATTTTGGGGATAAGACTGTTAGCGTTGAACTGGACTAGAGTTAAGCTAGACATTGAGGGGGTTGGAATAGAGTTTTTGTGTAGCGTCCAGGAGCGAGGCGGGACTTTTGTCTATAAGGAGGGTATCCCTAAACTGTTTTAGGGCGTTGATAAGGTTTGGGAGATTAATTAGGGAATTAATCTCGGCCATCAGGTTTCCGAGCTCGTTAAAGTCGGAGGTGTTGGGGAGAGAGTTCGCTTGGGGAGCTTTGAATTGAATGGGGGGCTGAGTAGGGGGTGGTGCCGTTGGGGGGTTTTACTGCTGTTGGGGCCCTTTCACGATGGCGTTCCAGGGTTGATTGAGGGGACGGATCGGGGGGAAAGAAGTTGGAGCGAATTGTGCTCGCGGGGGTGTTGTGGTGG